CCAATAATTGAGAAATTCTGATAAAACACCTGACTGCCCAAGACTTCAGTGAGAGCATTTTTGATCTTATTTTCGTTTGCTTACCTACCTTTGCTCACAAGTGCACGTGCCGGGCCAGCACACCTTACACAGCAGGTGAGGTAAGGTACTCACTGAAGTGACAGATTCCAATACAACTGGAGATGATTCCAATACAACCGGAGACCGTTTCTTGGGAGAACAGCCCTGAAACTTGAACTCTGTCATCTGCTGTGGTCCTGGTGGAGGATGAAGAAGTCTGACAATCAGTAGCCAACTACTCCCAGAGTGCCTTTCCCTGATTGGTGGAGACATTCTGGAGGGAGGGCCAGGAGTTTGGCTGCGTTGACGCTGGAAGTTTGCACAATCTCCTGCAGTAGGTCCCCTTTTAATTTCAATGGCTTACACCCACTGCAAGCCTTTGGTAGGCTGGGCAAGTAATTTATTCTCGGGAAGGGAAGTGCCTAGGGAGTTGCCGGAGGGACTAGTCCTAGCAAGCGTTGGAGGAAGTTTTCTTTCGGCAGGAGGAAAGAGAAAACAGTGGAAGAAAACGTAGAGGGATTTTGCAATGGCAAGGAAAGAAGCTGACCTGGATCTCCATGAATCAGCTGCTGTGTTTATCTGTTGGGCTGCAAGGAGGGCTATCAGGTTGCTCCTCTGCTCAAGCCCTCCAGGGCGTCCCAGCTCACATTAGGTACATTTCAAGTCCTAACTGGACTCCAAAGAGCCCCGTGATCTGGCACGGGATCCCCTCTGACCTACTGCTTCCCTCCCTCACTCTCCTGCAGTCACAAAGGTCCCTTGCATTTTCCCATAACACGGGGTGTTTCAACCTGGAGCTCTAGGTAGTTCCCACAGCACAGAACATCCTTCAGATCTCGCCTTGGCCAAAACTTTCATTTTATGGGGTGTCCTGTCACAGAGGTCTTTTCTGACCACATTTTCTAAAATAGCATCCCTCATTTTTTTCCTCTTTAACCTGTCTTAACTGTTTATATCACTTACCACCACTCTTGAGCATGGCTGGCAAGTTTTAGGCATTTAATAAAAGATAGGATGGGTAGATGAATGAATGACTCAGTAAATGTGACAGAAATCCAATGCCAATTCACCTAAAAAAAAAGAAGAGTATCCTGGTCATTTTTCAGTTCTAGAAACCTTTTTGTTGTTGATGTCTGAGTATTTTTTAATGTAAAGAATCACATCATTTCATGATAGAGACAGTTTTACTTCTTGCTTTTAGATCTATATGCATTTTATTTTCTTGCCTTATACACAAGATAGAATTTCCAGCTAACATTCTTGCCTTGTTCTTGATATTAGGGGAGAAGCATTCAGTCTTTCACACTCAACTTGATAAAGCCTGTCTACTGTCTTTACATGGTGAAAAGGCTGGTTGGATGTAAGTTTCTTATGTTAAAATATTTTTTCCATAAGGAAAGCTGTACACCTTGTTCCATTATCATCTGGCACTTAATATCACTTTGGAGAAGCTCAATGTCAACTAAGCTCATTTCTCCTGATATGTGCCTGTTGTACAGTAAAAAGTTTTGACTGATTTTTGTCCCTGTTTCCAAAATCCTTGGAGACTCTAAATCCTTGGAATAGGAGTGACTTTTCTATCTCAACTTTAATCTCCAGGCCAACTCTAAGATCCTAAGGACAGGGGCAGTGTATGGGCAAATGTATCCAGCCAGTACAACAGAGAGAGATTCTGGAGGAGACCAAAGACCATTTCTAGCTCATCTGGCAGGGTTTAATGATATTAGGACTTGTACATACACTCCCCTTTAATAGCAAGTGTTTTAACCTTTTCCCTTTATTGAGTGTTGGGTTGAGTTCAATTCAAAAACATCTTTTGAGTATCTACTATGGATCAGATATTGTGGATCAAGTCACCAGTATTTCTTGAGGATGAAAAGAAAAATAATAGTTGGGGTGAGAATGGGAAACACTTGCTTCCTTGAACAAGTTCTTCAAAAGTGTCAATGATTTTAGATGGATAATATATTAATAAGATAGTTGCTAAGGCTGTGATTAAAAAGACCACAGAGAAGCGGTGTGAAACAGTTACAGAAGTCAAATTCTTGGTAATATAGTAAGTCGTGTAGAAACAAACTCTGGCAAATTTGGTCTGAAAATAAATTTATTAGAAGCCTTTGGGAAGCAGACATAATTAGAGGGGAGGCTGGTACAGGTGCCAAGGACAGTTCGGGGAGTTAGGAAGGTGGGATAAGCATCCAGCATCATCTGTCTGGAAAGTGTGCCACTGATAGCACTTCTGGAGTGGCTGTAAAGCTGCTGCAACTGGATTTGAGATGCCACTGCCCCTTTGGGGATGGATTCCAAATAGGCCCTACATCTTTGCACACTTGCTCCAATTCTCAGTCCAAGACAGGAGTGCCTCATTGATGAAGTGATATATCATGCCCTAGAGTGGGCAGAGAGAGAGCTGACATTTCGAGCTTCCATGGCATAAGGTCTTGCCTTCCACTCAGACTCATCCAGTGGTGGATTTCACCCTCAAGAGGAAGGGGATTCATTTGTTGGGCAAACAAAATAGCAGATGTTTACCACAATATAGAGGGAGTAGTCATAGGTGGTCATGGTATGTGTTCTCCCCAGCCTTCCTCTGTGGGTGATGGAATTTGGTTATTCTCTGCCTTTGCCCCCAGAATAATGGACTTCCTCAAGTATTCCATGTCTTCTGAAATCACTTCCACAGCTGCCCGGAAGGTGGCACCCTGAAAGGGAAATGAATGTTGTTAATATCTTCAATTCTGCAGTGTACATTAGGACAGTTAATATCTTATTATCAGAACTCTAATCTTAATATTAGGAATATAAGCAAAAGTACCTAAGAGATGATAAAATTATACAAAGAAAAAATACATGTGAGCAAAAAGTCAACCATGAAGTTTAGCATCAAGCTGATTACCTTTCCTTCACTTAATATTTTGTTGCTTTATATGTAACAAACCTCAGTGTGAGACTTAAGTATCTAGGTCAATAAACTGCAGTGTTTCTATATTTGCTCACCAGAAGCAACACTGTGTTAAAGGCACAACCCCAACATTAGAGATATAAAAAGTTCATGTTGGGCCTCCCTGGTGGCTCAGCGGTTGAGCGCTGGGTTGCGAAGCTGCCCGCTGCCTCAGCGGTGCCGGTTTGATCCCCGGCTGCTCCCCAGCCACTGGAGGAGGGTCCCACATGGCGCGCAGACCTCTCCTGCCGCCCGCTGCTCCCCTCAGCAGTGTACCTCGGTCCTTCTGCCTGCTCTGCTCCCCGCTCTGGCTCTGGTGAATTCTCTCACCCTCCCACGCTTCTGACTGTACCCAGTGCATGTATAAACAAAAAAAACACAAACAAATAAATAAATAAATAAAACATGCCTCTATAATAAATAAATAAATAAATAAATAAATAAATAAATAAAGATTTATTAAAAAAAAAAAAAGTTCATGTTGACTTCTAACTGCATGAAGTATAAGGAATTGGAATCCTGACTTTAGGGTATAGGGAATACAGTCTTATGATGTTAAATATTATGAAGGGATTGCTTATTCAGATAAATGTTCTTAAACATTTTGGGGGCAGGTATATAAAAGGGACAATGACAAACAAGGTGTATGTCATTGCAGAAAAGTAGGTGAATATTTTCCCTTGTTGATAATGAAAATTCTTCCACATGTATATGGATTTTAAGACTATTATTTCGTATTAGCATCCCATGAAAACATGGGAGCTGAGAGATAAAGATCTCACAATAAATAAGAGGTTTTTTATTCCTGACTTCTTATTGCTATCATTTTTGACCAATGGATTTGAGAATTCCTCTTAGGGCACTAATGGACAAACCCTCCTTTTGCTTTTCATGATTTCCTTCAGAAGGGAGGAATGTGACTCTGTTGTAGAGCAGCCCCAATACAAAACGGGGTGCCTGACTGTGGGTCCTCACCCGCGCGCTTAAAAGGACTTATCAATGCTCTACTGCAGGCACACGTGAAAGGTTAATAAAAGGTTTATTTACAAGGGAAGGGGTAATGAGGAAATGTACAGCTCAGGGAGAAAAGTGGGACACAAAGTTTTAAATGACTCCTACCGGGTCCGCCCAAGGCCCACGTGTTTGGTTTTTATATCCAACCTGGCTGCCCAACTCCACCCTCAGGTCCTAGCCACCCTCCCTTTGGTGGTGACAGGATTTGTCTTTCCCAATGTCTTGATGGCTTTATTCTGGAGTGGGGGTGGGGCCCACAAAGCCTGTATGGGATTAGCTCAGGACATCATTTCCCCCTAACAATTCCCCCCTTTCACTTTTTGACTGTTCAAACAATAATTCACTAAATTACTGTTATGCAACTTTTTTTTTTAGATTTGTTTTTATTTATTTATGCACACAAGAACTGGGGTGTAGGTCAGAGGTGTGGGGGTGAGAGGATTCACCAGAGTCAGAGTGGGGAGCAGAACAGGTGGTTCTACTGCAGCGCACTGCTGAGGGGAGCAGCAACGAGACAGGAGAGGTCTGCTGCACAGTGTGGGTAGCTCCCTGGCTGGGGATCGAATTCTGCTGCCGTGGCTGCGGATAGCTTCACAGTGCTGAGACATTAACCCCAGCGCCACCAGAGAGACCAAGTTAAGCAACTTAAATTTTTTCTCAGCTGTCCTGAGAGGCTCTACCAGGCCACTACAGTTGAGGCTCACTGACCTGGAGCCTGCGACATCAGTTTCCAAAGTGCTTGAAGACACTGATACAGACACTAACCTTGGCATTAAAGTCCTCTATAAGCTGGCTGGACCCACAGGCCACTTCCCCAAGGCCCCCCCTCCTGGCCCTACGGGGCCAAAGGCCGCCCGGCCTGTCACCCCTCGCGGGTGGCGGGGTGGAGGCGACCCCCGGCTTTAGGACCCGCGCGGCGCCGGCCGCGGCCTGGAGGCGGGACCAACGGGGCCGTCGCGCGCACCTGACGTCAGCAGCCCGCGCCCACAGCGGCGAGGACGCCGAGGCCGTGGAGAAAAACGCTTCTGGCTCGCCTCAGCTCTCGCGCGCCATGGCGACCCCGGCCGAGCAGCCTCCTCATCCCGGCGGCGGGAAGCGCAAGGGCAAAGCTCAGTACGTGCAGCCCAAGCGGGCTCGGCGCTGCGATGGCGTCGGGACCCGGCAGCTGGAGCCCGGGCTCCAGGGCATTCTCATCACCTGCAATATGAACGAGCGCAAGTGCGTGGAGGAGGCCTACAGCCTGCTCAACGAATACGGCGACGACATGTACGGCCCGGAAAAGGTATCGGCTCCCGCGGGGGAAGCTGGCCGGCGGGCCTTCGAGGGAGGACGTTGAACTGGCAGGTTGAAAGGCCGCCCCCCTTGAAGCGCATGCGCGAGTCTTGCCGCCAGCGCATGGGCGAGGGGCGTGACCTCCGGTGTCCCCGCCCCCTCTCGGTCACCACCCGCCCCGCCCCTCCGGCGTCGGGCGCATGCGCCTTGCGCTTCTTCCCTCTCTGGGTCTTCAACCTCGGTGGCTCCAGTTGGTAGGTTGCTCTCTCGGTTCAGGTGTTGTGTTTCTGAAGCTCTTTCAGAAACAACCTCTCAGGGCAGCTTTTGGGAACGGCCACGAGTACGCTGAGGCCCAGCTAGGTTCCTACCAGCAGGTGGCTGTAGTTCAACTGGGCAAACTTCAGTTGTCTTAAGCAATAGGATCTTTGAGATACTGGGTTTAATGCTGGTGCTGTTTACTTTGCCAATCCAAGTAAAAACACTTTAAAAGGTAAAAACTTCACCAGCAATACCACTTACAATCCAGTTGTGCCGTCCCAGTTTGGAAGTCGTCATGGTACTGGATTTGGATTAACACAGGCACACAGCAAGGAGTTAGTTGAAGGAGGATAGCACCGAGGCCTTTGAATTTAGGTGCTGACGTTCAGTAGCTCTGGGACTCGAGCGTGGGCGTGGTAGTTAATTCTGCTGAGCCAGATTAAGAAAAGAATAATGATGGTGTTTCATAAGGTTGGCAATATACGTGAACTACATCCCGGCATTTAAAGGCTCTGTAAATATGAACAGTTGTTACTGTGCCTCGTTAACCACCTCATTGGCGGCAGAAAACTGGACGACAAGGGCATGTTATGTCTATACTGGTTCCTTGAGCAAATTTTTGAATTATTTCTGTGCTCTATTCTCAGTAGAATAGGCATAGTGGTTTGCATTCCACAACTCTTTTGTCAGGGCCACCCTGAAATGATAGCTGTGGTGAACATTTCTTTCTGTTCCAGACTCTCAAGATGCTTTTGGAAACATTTTCAAGTTATCTGTATTACAGATAATACGATTCTCTGAGAACTCCCTTATTCCTCTGCATCTCAGAGGGAGTGGTGTCTTAACAAAAGGTTTTATTGTCAATATTGTCAATCTGCCACAGGGAGTTTCACATAAGTATTTAATTATAGCTTTTAGCATAAGCTGTTATGGCATTTGTGCTCATTAGTTTTATGCAAACAGTTTACAGATATTGATCAGCAGCCCTCTGGAAGTAAGGAAGAAGATGATGATGTGGAGAGTGCCTTGAAGAAAGAAGTTGGGGACATTAAGGCATCTACCGAAATGAGGCTAAGAAGATTCCAGTCATTGGAGAGCGGCGCGAATAATGTAGTCTTCATCAAGACGCTTGGGATAGGTGTGTTTAATGTGCCTTACGGTTATTGCTCCAGTGTATCTGGACCTGGACATCTCCCTGTCTAGAGAATTACCTACAAATGGCTTCATGGGGCATGGCTCAGCCATGGGATAGCATTCTCTCTACACTGTGTAGCACTAGGCATATGAAGAGAAGAGAAAATGGGATAGTGTTCTTAAACATGGCATTGGTTTAAGAACAGAAACCTGGTTCTGCCACTTGCTTTGTAACTTTTGGCAAAACAAGAGTGCATGTGCTATCTAAACAAAGCAGCTGCTATTCCAGCCATTTTTGAAAGCAGTCCCTTGTAGGATGAGATCTTCCGGTTTTTCCAGAAAAGTTGGAAATCTGGAGCAGTTTGTAGATTTTTAAATGAAGATAACTAATATAAAAATACTGAAAACACTGAGCAGCCCAGATAGACTTGTGTGTAGTCATCATCTTGCAACTCAGGTTCTGGAGCTCCTCCCAGAGCCCCTGTCTGAGATCTAGCCTTGTGTATAAACCTAGCTAATGGATTAATCAAGTTGTTTTGAATGACTTGAGGATTTTTATTGTTTTTGTAGGAAAAGAGCAGTATGGTATTCCATTAGGTAAATCACACATCACAAAAATGTTAAAATTCCAGTACTTTGACAAATAGTTGTTTTTAGTACAAGCAGTGATAATGCTGAGGAGTTAAAATATTAGATACAGTTTTAATACATAGTAGGCAGTGAGGAAATAGTTCTAAAGATGGCTAGACTTATTTAAAATTATGATAAATTTCTTTACTGTCAACTTATGTTATTGCCAATGACAATTCAGTTTAGAGAGTTTGAAGATTCTTTAAAATACGTGAAAAACCTATGGTCTTGTTTTCTGATTTTTTCCTTTCAGAGCCTGAGAAATTGGTACATCATATTCTCCAGGATATGCACAAGACCAAGAAGAAGAAGACTCGGGTTATTCTACGAATGTTACCCATCTCAGGCACATGCAAGGCTTTCTTAGAAGATATGAAAAAATATGCAGAAACATTTTTGGAACCCTGGTTTAAAGCTCCAAACAAAGGGACATTTCAGATTGTATACAAATCTCGAAATAACAGTCACTTGAATAGAGAAGAAGTTATCAAAGAATTGGCAGGTATGTTTCTTGTAGTGATTTTACATAGGTGAGCAGTGGTAAGTACTTGTTTATGCTAAGAATTTTGTTTAGCAATTTAAGTCTTACATACTTGAGTGTAGAACAAGCATATTAAAATGTTCTTAAGGTAATTTCAAACCTAACTCACTTCATTATATTACATATGAGATTTTCTGATCTTTCCAAATCAAGATTGATTTTGGAGGGGTTGTGGGAGGAAGTACTTTTCTTATTAAATGTCTCAGAATTCCATTTGTGGTTATTTGCTTGAGAGCTACATAAAAAAGTAGATGAGTAAATATACTGTTTTAGCAAGTTCTAAACAGAAAGAGGTGAAAGTTTATTTTTGTATCAAGCTAAATAACATCCTAAATACTTTTCCTTTTTTTTTTTTTCTCCCCTCAGGAATAGTAGGCAGCCTCAATTCAGAAAATAAAGTGGATCTTACCAATCCACAATACACAGTGGTAGTAGAAATCATTAAAGCTGTCTGTTGCCTGAGTGTTTTGAAAGATTACATGTTGTTCAGAAAATACAATCTCCAGGAAGTGGTAAAGAGTGCTAAGGATTCATCACAGCTTAACCCAAAGCAGACAGCACAAACTAGAAATGGGAAAGAAGCCAAATTGGAATCTGATGACAAATTAAATCAGAATGACATAGCAGAAGAAAAAAATAACCAGCAGATGGTACCAGAGAATAATGAGAAGCTGGGGCAGACAAAACCAGCGTCTGAGACATAGGTGGTGAATGAGGGAGGAGCTAAACCTGAACTTGGATGTAAAGTCGTAGGAGAATCCAAGTCAAATGAAAATGACCTCTCATAGGAAACAAGTCATTTGGTGTTGGTTTCTTCACTGGGATTCTTCGAGATGTGGCCGAGATTCTCTATAAAATTGTGACAATGATTATTTTTGAATTCTGTGTGCTGCACAATGCTGTCTTCACAGTAGTGAGCAATGTCCGAGAGGCCCTGGTAAGTTTTGTTAGCAATCTTTCAGCCCTGTATGACCGTATGTGGGCAGTAGGCCCATATGCACTGGTTGCACTAGGAGAAGCTGGTTGTAGTTGTGAACACGGGATGGCTTGGAGGAGGAGGGGTCCTCTCCCTTACACACACCCCCTGCGCCCCCCCTTCCCTTCTGCACTGCCAGCTGACTCATGGGAACAAGTGAGCTCTATGAAACACACTCGAAGGAAAATTTATATTCTAAGGAAGAAATTTTTACCTGTCACAATTCAGCTGTCCCCTGCCGCTTTGTAATCATGACAAAAACTTGGTCCTGTAGTTGAAAGTGAATTTTTTGTGATATTTTTGTACTTTCTGTGATTTTCTTGTTTTTATATTATGCCCATTTTAGTTACATTTATTAACATTGGCTTGGTACAACAAATCTTATGTTCCAGGGCTCCAATTTTTAAAGGTACGGTGTGAGATAAAAGAGGACTATTCTAGGCATAGACTTACAGGCATTTGATGAGGTTAGTACTGAAGAATTAGAATTTTCAGTTACTTCAGGATACGCATGCACAAAGGGGCACACTCTCTTCACAATGGAAGCCACTTCTCAGTGGTCTGCTGTGGACTCATCATTCAAGCTGTGTTACACCATTGTGCATTGTTTGTGAAGTGTGACTGACAAACAGTGTTTGCTCCAACAGATGTAATTAAATCATAGCCATTTGATAAGTGAAGGTGTTGATTATTTTAAATGACTTGGAATAGCAAAAAAATTGTTTTTAAGTCACAGTGAAAAGCCTTAAGAAGTAAATTATTTAGTAGCAGAACTTAGTCCAGAAGGGAAAACTCACAGAGTTGGCAAGAGTCTAATAGTACTAATATTAGAATGCAGCCCAAGAAGTTGAAAACTTTATTCTCAGTTAAATTAATAGACTTACTATAGTGTTTCACTGTGCTAACAAAGTTTTGTGTCATTAATGGAAAAGCAGCAGCTTCTCTTTGTGGTTTGACAGGTCAACAGATTTCACAAATATTTGTCAAACTAGCATTTGTGAGGTAGTAAATGATGACATTCAAGAAAACTTTCTCTGCTGCTTGGTGCCTCCCAGTATAGCCAGTATAAATTTTAATGACTTTTCTTACCTGAAATCCAAAACGTTCTTTCTGTCATCCATACTCCTGCCTATCAGTCAGGGGTTGACTGACAAGTGTTGCCTTTGTTTAATGAAAGAAAATCCCACTGTTGACATTAAAGCCACTTTTTTCATAGAGGTGCTGATTAAAAAAACAAAACTTGGAGATGAAGAAAGTTCTGATAATGCTACAAAATTGGTTAACTTTACTAAAGGCCTGTTTATGCAAGTATATTAAAAAAAAAAAACAAACCAAAAAAAAATACCTGAACAAAGATCACATAAATCTGCTACGTGCAGAAATCCAGTGGCTTATCAGAGAGAGTGCTCAGCAGGACACTTGAGTGGACAGGTGAATTCCCAGAGAACTTAAGAGAGAATGCGGGGCCAGGTTTCTGAATGCTTTGGAGATGATGACTAGCTACAGAAACACAACAAAGCAAAAATGAACAATTATAAATCAGAGACATCCGGCAGGGGAGGAGGCCGAACAGGGATCGGAGGGAGGGAGGGAGGAGCACAGGGGACTGAGGGGCTGGTGCACGGGTGCATTGGAGAAGGAAACTGTGGGGACTACACCTGAGGGGGTGGGGGGAAGCAAACATTATTAAAAAATGAACAATGATGTAAAAATATAAACAAAAGAAAATAGCCTATTTAGATGAACAAATGCACATGTTTTTGCAAGGTCATAGAGAACTTGTCTTTTCTTAAAAGTAATGGGATTCTTAGATTTTAAACTGGTTTGGCAAATGTTTCCGCAGACACTTGGGCTTAAGAAGGAAGGGCAGCAACAAATCTCAAGACTTAAGTCCTCCTTTAAGAACCACAAAACCAAATTAAATAGAATTTTGCCAATACTAATGTATGACTATGAGGAGCCCTTTAAATCTCAGGCTGGGATTTTTGTCTTGAGAAAAAGAATCCTGAGTCTGACAGTTCTGGATTTCTGTGGAACAAAAGTAACCTTCGAATTAGTGCTCTCATACTTTGAGGGTTCCCTTCTTTGGAAAGTTTTCTCAGTGCTTCCTCCAGGCTAAAAATAAAGCTAGAAGAGACAGACACCAAAGAGGGCTACTAAATAAGGTGTCCAGATTGAGGGTATTAAGATGTGAAATTAACTTTTGGAGATAGATTCACTCTTAGATTTAAAAGGTTTGGGAGCATTCTAAATGTTAACTCTTCTGTGCCAATGGTTGCATTTATTGAATGGCTAGTGAACATGAAAACATATTATCTGAGCTATTGGTTCTGCTCGAAGCAGACTAGGATTTTGGCGGGAGGGAGCGCAGAGAAAAGTCAGGGCTTTGCAAATGTAAATGAGGCTAGAACTTCCCTTGTATATCTTTAAATATTTAGGATGTTAATAGTTGAAATCATTTTGAAAGGATAATAAAAGTATTGTTAGTATATTGAGGGGAACATGGAAGATAGTATTTTGGTGCCTTCATCAGACATGCTGCGACACTTAGTGCAAAACTTTGGGACTCGGCGTAATATTGGCCACATGCCTACAGGACAGCTAAGCAGCTCTGCTCAGCTGATTTCCTTTTTCTCTTTGAAAGCTGCTACTCGACAGAAAGATTTTGATTTTGTGCTTTGTTTTACCTCCTTTGTATATTTGTATGTGGTAAGGCCTGGCTAGGGCCAAAGCTATTCCCTATTTCTATAGTGCTGTGTTCTTTTGAAAGATTTGAAATTGAAAGATTTGTTTCCAGGTTTATCACTTGTTTCACTGACGTTTGAACATGTTATTTTATAAAGGAGCTTCGGGGTGGGGAGTGAGTATTTTTTCTCCCTTCAGTTTTTATTTAAAATGAGTCAGTTAAAACTCCAGTGTTGTGGTTTAGTAAACCTGTTTTGCTTTGTAGAGGAAAGAGTGTAAACCTTTGTATGTTAAGGTTAAACATGATTTCTAGACATTATTTGTATTTTGCTTTTGGTATGGCCAGATATTCAGCTTGTTCTTCTATTTTCAGAAAATAATAATAAATTTGTTCGTTAAATGTTGGTGTCTCCACTTTTTATTTTGCTTCTCAGTAAATCTTTTGCTCTATAACAAATAGATATCATAAAAGGCGCTTATTTGTCAAATTGAATATCAGACAGTCATTAAATGGCCCTAAAAAGTAGAAAGTTTATTAAGTGCTTTTGAATTATTAAATATGCTTAAGTAATCTAAACTTTAGTGAATTTACTTAAAAATGGGGTATAGTAATACACTACTTAAATTCATTTAATTGAATTTTGTTTCTCATTTTAACATTTTAATTCATGTTAAAGAGTTAGTAATATATAAAGATGTACATTTCTCTTAGAATAGTTCTAATCTTCATTTTTAATCAGACATGCAATAAATTCATTATCCACTGTGCTTTTCTTAATAATCCTTGGACCCCTGCTATTTTCAGCTCCACAAATCATAATCATTGCCTTTGTTGTTTTGATTTCATTGTAACTACTTCATTGCAACTACTTCATCATAACTACTTCATTGGTTAGTTTTCTATCAGGCTGCTCGTCCCCATTCACGGTCTCTTAAAACATTGCGCTTGATTTTCCCAGTGATTGTCTTCGGGAGCTTTTGAACAAATTCCACCTAATTAACAGAAAAACATTATGAGATACTTGCTTCCAATTTGACAATACCAAGTAACAGAACAAAAAGAATTCGCCTGAAATTATGGCATTGAGTAAATTTTTTAGTTTGGGGATTATCTTAGCTTAAGTTCATTGAATTTCTTGGACACCCAAACTTCTATTTATGTAGTAAAAATGAAGATGGAGTTCCAGCATAAGGGTTTTTTGGTGTGAATGCACTTAATATGCTTAGGCAGAAGGATATAGTCCCTTTATTGTTTGTCCCCAATTCAAACCAGATCTAAGCTTCTGTTGTCTCAGGGAATAGAAGCTACACCTAAGTGCAAAGGAAATAGCAAGTTCATTCTTGTTGAGCTTTAAAAGAACTGGGTTCTGGAGGTGCTGAGGGAGAATTTTTAGAAAAATTTGAGTATATACAATTTTCCCTTTTTTTGAGTTTTAATTTATTTTATATATTTTTTACTAGGATCGCTATATTTTATTTATTTATTTTTAATTTAAATAATAAATTTTATTTTTATATTCCCCCATACAATTGCAAATGCCCCATTCTGACCCCAATCCCTCCCCTCCCGCCCCACACCCCCCAAAAAGTGTCTCTGGTTCATAGTTTTTTGTTGATTTTCATTTTCACTTTCTTATATTCATTTTCCTGGTCCCTTATTTAAGCTTTCCAGATTCCTGCTATGAGTGAGACCATCCGGTATTTTTCTTTTTCTTTTTGGCTTATTTCGCTGAGCATGATCCCTTCCAACGCCATCCATGTTGCTGCAAATTGCATGTGTTTATAGGATCGCTATATTTTAAAGTGTCCTCAAACAACATTTCCAAAAGTCAACTGTCTACTAAATTTAGCAAATTTAATGGAAAAAAATGTAACCAGTTCTTAGATTGAAATGAACTACCTTTGGTTGAAATTATGCCCATGGAAATAAAATTCTCATATAGAGGCTCAATGTCAACCTATAGGGTTTCAGGACTAGAAAGAAATTACAGTCCCATCTGTGTGTCTTTAAATAGTTATTCTTAAATCCTTTGAAGCAGGTTTCTGGAACAATTCCACATTTTCCTTGGTTATTATCTTCTTTCGGGGTCTTAGATACATTCATGTGCTACTTACAGAATGGGCCTTGAATTTATAAGCGTATTGTTGCCAGAGTACTTTGATGAATTAGCCCTGAAAACAATTTGCCACTATTTTTTCTCATATGGAATGGGGCTGATTAGTTCTGTACGAATCATATATAGTTACTCAGTATTTCAGAGTTAATCAAAACTTAGGGTTTATCAAGTACCTGTACTATCCTAATATAAGATATTTTAAAGCAAAATTCTTAGGGCTGAATAAACTGAAATAGGTATTTTTCTCCTTATCTAATGAACTACTATAAAACTAAAGTTAAGAAAATCTATATACTTACAAGTTCAGACCCTAGTTTGGTGACACTTAAACTGAGCAAAATACTTGCCTTTCTTGGATATTTGTAAGGTGCAGTTGTCTTTTTCACATGATCTTGAAGTTCAAGAGTTAATTTCTCAGGGTTGGATGATTTAAAGGGTGCAGATAAGACAACAAAAGCTTTTACTACCTGCAGGAGAAAAGTCAATATATTGATAGGTTTGTTTTTTAGACACAAAGAGTTAATAGCAACTCAATTTTGTTAAGAGCAGCTTAAGTGATGCCAGAGATCACCTCTGAACACTGAACCAATAAATTCCCTCCCCTCCTTTTTTAACTTAAGTCACTTTCAGTTGAGTTTCTGTCACTTGCCACCAAAAGAATCCTAATACACCCTCTGGGACACAACTCATTTATAAAATCGATTGCCTCATAAACATTTTTTTGCCATGTTTCTCATAGTGCGAATTAACTGACAGTTCTTGAGGTGCACTCTTTAGCGTGGTCATATGGAAGAACTTGAAAAGATGAAATTGCTATTTGAGTTAGCGACTTTCACTCTACCTCTCCTCTGATTGGGTCTGGACTACTGACAACAGCCGATTCAACAACAGCTGGGTGCTCAATCAGCGCGCTCTCCACTTCAAATGGGCCAATACGGTACCTGGACATGGAAAAGAAGCCTTGGATGATGACACCGCCAAGTAGGAGATCTCTCCTGGCAAAATGTGACTTTCCAAGAGTGTCAAATGTACAAACCCAGAGGACAGGATGACATCATCAGCTCTGCCAACAAACCATAAATACCCATCGCTGTCCATCACACCTCTGTCTCCAGTGACATAAAAATTCCCTCTTATTGTGGCGGCAGTTTTCTCGGGATTGTCCTAGGAATCAAAGATGACATGGGAGATGAATTGGGTCAAGACAGAAACTTAAAACTTAAACCTGTGAAGTGACTAGTACTTTGAACATTCTATTTTTTTTTCTGTTTTTTTTAAATTTTTATGTTCCCCATACAATTGCAACCCCCTTATTTTGACCCCCTACCTCCCCATAGAGTGTCTCTGGTTCATAGTTTTTTGTTGATTTTGATTTTCACTTTCTTATAGTTATTCATTTTCCTGGTCCCTTATTTAAGTTCTCTAGATTCCTGCTATGAGTGAGACCATCCAGTATTTTTCTTTTTCTTTCTGGCTTATTTCGCTGAGCATGATCCCTTCCAGCACCATCCATGTTGCTGCAAATTGCATGTGAGCATTCTATTTTTAAACTAAATTTTAAAAAGGTAATTCCTGGTATACACTACAAAATATCCAAGAGAATAATAAACAGTGAGGCTTTCTCCCAGCTGCCCGGTTTTCCTTTCTGAGGACAGCCACAGCAACTGGTTTCTTGCACATTGAATGCCGTCTTTAAAGAGGGGATATTCTGCTCATTTTATAGCTGATGAAGCTGACTTGGCTTTTGTGACTTGCCCACGATCATCTAGCAAAACATGGTGGGCATAAAATTTGGACTCAAGTCTGGGTGACTTCCCAGACCTCCTGTTCTATTAAAGAGTGAACAGTGTGTTCTCCGTTCTCATACCACGTATTCAGAAAAGAAGCAGAAGGGCCGTGTAGACTTCAGTCTGAGGGCAATTTCCCCTTCTTTGCCGGTGGGTAAGATGTTGCCATTTTCATCTATAATCTAGAATGAAAGAAACAATTTCAGTCTAAATTTTTTTTCACAAAATGAAAACAGATTATGAAGAGAGGTATAATGAATATCAGAAAACTATAAATATTCTTTACTGAACCAGCCAGACATCTTCTCTACCCACCTGGACATCATAAGGTAATATTCCTTTCCCCATCGAGCCTGGTTTAATTTCTTGTCCTTTCTGATTGGCACAAATTATTCCCTGTTGAGAGGACGTGTTTTCTGTAAGTATGTAAAAGTTCATTTTCCTATAGCTATTTATATCATGACAGTGAAACTTAACACCCAGTGTGAGTGACTTCCCCAGTTTGCAAGCTCATCTTTCGAAATACATTATTTGAGACCAGTGGCCCTTACACTTGAATGGTATCAGAATCACCTGGAATGTTGTCAAAATACAGATTGCCTGGCCCTGCCCCAGGGATGGTGTCTGAGAATTTGTATTTCTACCAAAATCTCGTATGATGCTGACACTTGATCTGAGGACCACACTTTGAAAACCACCCCTTTAGACTAAAAATACCCCTGAGTGCACCCCGGAAGAAATTCTCCACTAGGCCTCTTTGGGGTCCTTTTTGTTATAATGGATTAAGCTGCTCTTAATCGAAAGTCCCCGATCCCTAACACATCTGTGTGGGGAGGAGACAGGAAGGCTGCAAGGAATAATCGCAACTTCCCTTCAGCCAAACCTAACTGGGAAATTCAGAGGTTCCAGTAACGACTGGCAAGGTAAGAATTTCAAACCTGGTGGGGGCACTTTTGGGGTTCAGCTGACATTCCTTTTGAAATGGATTTGAAAGCCTCCCAATATGTGGAATTTAAATTTTGCCCGTTAAACATACCACTTCCGTCTGTCCATAGCCCTCATACAACTCCAGCCCAGTTTGCGCCTTCCACTGCTCCCGCACCTCGGGGTTGAGTGGCTCCCCACCCGTCAAGCAGTGCTGCAGCTTCTTGAATTTGTATCTAGAGAGACAGAGTTGTGCAGTGTTGGGGGCAGGAATCTGTGTGGCTTTCATTGCAAGATCATTAGGAATTCAAGTAACAAGCAAAAGAGCTAGGAAAGTTCATTCGACCAATGCTTATTGTGAGCCTGCTGTGTTGCCAGACATTCCTCCAGGTGTGTGGGGCACGCTAGTCATTAAAAGAAAGTTCCCTGGCAGAGAGTACATTTTAGCAGGCTGTGAAGAAGGGGAAAGGGAGGAGAAAAGGCTGAAGATGAAATTAAATGCCTATAATGAGCCCGGTTAATTGAGCATCTACTGTAGGATGTTAGGCGCATTCTCTGCTTTACAAACAGGAAACTGAGCATGAGAGAAGTTAGAGGTGCCCCAAATAATAAAAGGTGAGTCACAAACTCTGTCTTCTGCACTTAGCGCCTGGCGGTTCTCTCACCGAAGATCCCTCACTTCTCACCACAACCTCCCATGTGGCTCATGGTTTTCTCTTGAGGGTGGAGTAAGGGAGGGTGATGGCCTGTCTTGAACGTCAAGTGTCCCCACCTGTTTGACTTTGGCGCTTGAGCTTGGCCTTACTACCCAAAGCTGGAGCTTTTAGCCACTGACCCCCACAGGGCCCAGGAGAGAAAGCCTGGAAAGCTGGTCCTCTGAGGACCCAAATGGGCAGGAGGTGTGGTAGAATCCCTTCTTTTCAAGATGACCCTTGACTAGCCCTTCATTACTCACAAACGTGAGCAAGATGCCCACATTTTAAGGGTCATGGAAGATTCATATCAGCTTTCTTCTGCCTCACAGCCCTCTCTCACCCCGGCACTCACACCTGGGGGGAGCAGCGGCCTCCAAAGCTTGTGCTACTTAATTGTTTCTCTCTTCCTTTCCTTTTCTCCTCCTGTATTGAATCCATGAGCTAAATAAATACATGTTGCAATTCCACTGGATATTCAGGTGATTTGGTTTAATTAAATATAATCAAGTTGGAAGACTTCTCTTTAAGGCAGTATCAATGTAGTTGTGCCTAAAAACATTTTAAAAAGAAAAAGAAAAAAAATGTTTTGGTAGAACTGACTGTAAATGGCAGTAGTTCTGCAAGAGTTCTGGGACTGTAGGACTCTGTCTGGGAAAATGTTCAGTTGCCCCTAGAAACTACCTTGGAGAGTCTTAAACTGGGCAGGAGGTGGAGGCAGGCAGTGGGCATTGTCTGGGGGCACAATTGATCATCACGGCCCAAGACAGATGGGACAGACAACTGGCATGTAGCAGGTAGAGGCCAAATAGATTATTATCTACATGCTCCATGACCCAGAATGATTCGGTTCAAAATGTCAACAGAGATGAGGCAGAGACACCCTAGTCTCTCCAGTGCTGAACGGGGGAGATCTGTGATGCTGGGCTAGTATAGCTTTTGTCTGCTTCAAATGGAGATTTCTGCACAAGTACCTCTTAAGATCTTTTTGCACGAGCATCCGGTACACGGTGGGAGCGCTGCACAGGGTTGTGATGGGATAAGAGGCAAGTGTCTGGATGGCGGAGAAACACGAAGATGTCAGCGGTGGTTATTCAATGTCCGTGGCTGGAACTACAACCCTCATTCTTCTCCGTTAATACATGACCATCTAGTCACTACTAATATTTATGAGTCGTCACTAGTGATTACATAGACGTCTGTGGGGGATTTCCAATGATAAAGAATGTGTATATGTTATAGTAATGGACATACATAATCACATTAAACAAAGAGTGGATTTTTGAACTTAAGAACAACCTCAAAGAATAAACTAGCTATTCTATCCCAGGGCTGCAAATTACCTTTCATAATGGAATCTTAAAAACTGCTGTCCTTAAACTCATGTATGCTGTGGACTCTGGATACAAGCCAATCTAGCAGGACCTTTCCAATACCGTTCTTATGAAAACATTAGTCCTTTTGGGTGGACTGATTAAATGCAGAAGTAAAGGCATTTTTCAGCTCTTAATTGTTTCAGATTGGCTGAATTTATTATGCTTCCAGCTCCTTAAAATCAAAAGCAGCCTAGGCAGCTTTAATCTAGTGAAATACTAGTGATTTGGAGATCCTCTTTCTAGAGGATCTTTTTGTCAGTTCACATAATGAATTGACAACTTACATTAAATCTAAGCATTTGAGATAATGCTCTCACAATATATGTCTGGGCTATCTAGTTTGTTATAGATCAAGAATAGCAGAAAATGAACATTTCTATTGTATTTGCTCCCTAAGATTTCAACTGTTCTTAAGTGTAGTGCAGATAGCTAAGTATAGTTTTAGTGTATTGTAATAGTGTAAGTCTAATGTAAGAGCTGTTGCAGCCCTTAAATACACACAGTATCTGCAAAATAAAATGTTATGATTTTAACATTATTTAATATTATATTAAATATGCCATGTCAACAATAAATTATGTTAGTTACTAATAAAAATATTGTTTAATATAATGATTGATTATATCATTGAGATATATTTCACATCATATTAAATACAAATATTAAAATAAGAATAGATATTAAAGATTGTATTTAAGTATTATAAAATTTTTACATTTTATAAAAAAAGTCCTTCTCTTAGAAATGAAGTTTTTTTTAAAGATTGATTTATTTATTTTATACAAGAACTGGAGTACGGATGGGAAGCGCGGGAGGGTGAGAGAATTCACCAGAGCCAGAGCAGGCAGAAGGACCAAGGACACTGCTGAGGGGAGCAGCAGGCGAGGCAGGAGAGGCCTGCCAAGCCATGTGGGGTTCTCCCTGGCAGGCGGGGAATCGAACCCGCGCTGCAGAGGCTGCGGACAGCTTCACAGCGCGGTGCTCAACTGCTGCGCCACCGGGAAGGCCCTACAAATGAAGGTTTTAAAACTGCAAAGTTAACCTATCTACTTCAGGGCACTTTGTAAGTATGATGTAGAGATATTCTTACATTCTCCTGTGTTTCGATTAAGACCCTTAAGCCATCTTGACTGACCAGTTAGTAAAATAGCAGGATGAAAATAGCTTTTATTTACACACAGGTATGGGGTTTATTCGATAATGTGTATTTTCTTACACTTAATTGATTTTTCATGGTTGAAAAATAATTGACCTGAATCACCTGTTTCTAAAGACCAGAGACATCACAGCCATCCGATGCCTCAATCTAGCTGTTTCTGACTGAGCAGGAAGACCATAACTGACTTAAAAAATATTGGATTCTGAGAGAGAACAGAGCGAGAAGCACGGGGGAGGGGAGAACAGAAGGCACTGCTCTAGGAGAAAGGAGGTGCTACCCACACGGGGTCTCAGATTTATCAACATTTGTCTTTTGTTCACTGAATTTTGTTCATGTCTTTTGTTTCACTGAATCAGAAACCAACAGTCTGCTTAGACTTGAGATTACTAATCCTTGTCTAGCACCAGACTTTGGCAGCCACAGATTTAGCGACACTAGCAGATCCTGAACACTTTGAAGCATGAGAGTGGGTGTGATGCTTGAGTGTGTTGTTGGGGTGCCCTCTCCTCTCTGTGGTGCAAGGGGTTAAGCACAGCACTGTGAAGCTATCTGCAGCCTCTGCAGCATGAGTTTGATCCCCGGCCAGCCAGGGAGCTACCCACATGGCACAGCAGACCTCTCTTGTCTCGCCTGCTGCTCCCTTCAGCAGTTGTAGGGTAAAGAAAAAATATCAGGTTTTTCTGCCCTCCCGCCATCAAGATAGATGATGGATCCTTGCAGTCCTGAATGCATGCCTGAGGGTGGGCACCTGGGGTAGGGTGTGGGCATAGGTAGATGGGATTCACCTGGGCTAAGACTCGGCTTTTAAGGGCAACGTCACAGGGACGCCAGCAGAAGCCAAAAGAGAAGCTGAGAAAGCAGCAGCAGAAGCCGAGAGAGAGAGAGGATGCTGGAGAGCCCAGATAGAGTGAAGACTTGTTGGGGGCTGGGAGGCCTGCCAGCCTCCCGGCCCCCCAGCACCCCTGCCTGCTGTGTACCTGGTAAACCCCAATAAAAGCCTGCAAAAGCCACTGAGGGCTCTGACTTCTCCTTTACCCGGTCTGCATGGGATCCTAGAAAACCTGCCCTGTGTCCATTCCTGACCTTACACAGTGTATTTCAGTCAATCTGCCTGTTCTGCTCCCCACTCTGTCTCTGGTGATTCCTCTAACCCCCCCACCTCTGGCCTACACCCCAGTTCTTGTATGCATAAATAAATAAATCTTTTAAAAAAGAAAGAGAAACTAAGTCTCCAGGACTTCGGCTTTTTAATGGATTTTTTAAAAAGATTTATTTGTTTATACATACAAGAACAGGGGTATAGGCCAGAGGCGCACGCGCGTGCGTGCGTGTGTGTGTGTGTGTGTGTATTCACCAGAGATAGAGTGGAGAACAGAACAGGCAAAATGATCAAAATACACTGCTGAGGGAGAGGCGGGAGAGCCAGGAGAGGTCTGCTGTGCCATGTGTGTAGCCTCCTGGTTGGCTGGGGATCGAACTCATGCTGCAGAGGCTGTGGACAGCTTCATAGCACTATGCTCAACCCCTTGCGCCACCGGGGAGGCCCTGTTGACTTAGTTTCTTGAGAAGGAATGCTTTCCAAAGAAGTCCTGGATGGGGGGGGGGTCATGTGGTATGAGGGAGACAGGAAAGATGTCAGGAGAAGTGGTGACTTACATCTAGGAAGGTTTCAGGGTCAAACTGGGCCATTCGGTGCACAAACACACAGGCTCCCTGAAGCCAGGAGGAAAATACACTGCCAATGGCGGCCTTGATCCAGCCAGTGTCAGACATGTTCCAGATGATGTCTGAGGACTTCAGATCTAGCCAGTACCTAAACCACAGGGGGAAGTGACAGGTCAGACCAGACAACAAAACCAAAACCAGGAAAGTTCATTTGACCAATGCTTGTTGTGAGCCTGCTGTGTTGCCAGACATTCCTCCAGGTGTGTGGGGCACGCTAGTCATTAAAAGAAAGTTCCCTGGCAGAGAGTACATTTTAGCAGGCTGTGAAGAAGGGGAAAGGGAGGAGAAAAGGCTGAAGATGAAATTAAATGCCTATAATGAGCCCGGTTAATTGAGCATCTACTGTAGGATGTTAGGCGCATTCTCTGCTTTACAAACAGGAAACTGAGCATGAGAGAAGTTAGAGGTGCCCCAAATAATAAAAGGTGAGTCACAAACTCTGTCTTCTGCACTTAGCGCCTGCCGGTTCTCTCACCGAAGATCCCTCACTTCTCACCACAACCTCCCATGTGGCTCATGGTTTTCTCTTGAGGGTGGAGTAAGGGAGGGCGACGGCCTGTCTTGAACGTCAAGAGTCCCAGTCTCTGAGGACTGGCCAGAACTTGAACGACAACAGTAAAGGGTCAAAAGAAACCCCAAGGCAGGTGGAAGGATTCTACCCCCCATTCTTCATAGGGGACTTTTTTTTTAGGAGATAATTTTTTTTTAAAGATTTATTTATTTTTATACAAGAACCGGGGTACAGGCCAGATGCACGGGAGGATGAGATGATTCACTGGAGACAGAGCAGGGAACAGAACAGGCAGACTGACTCAAATACACTGCTGAGGGGAGCAGCGGGCGAGACAGGAGAGGTCTACCTTGCCATGTGGGATTCTCGCCGGCCGGCTGGGATCGAACCTGCACTGCAGAGGCTGCGGACAGCTTCGCAGAACTGCGCTCAACTGCCTGTGCCACCAGGGAGGCCCCCATAGGGGACTTTTTCAGAATTTTAATAGACTAAGAGTGGAGGGGGAGGTTGCACTGGGCAGGATTTTCTAAGTCTGCCCATTGATGCAACCCACATTTATTGAGCAAATATTATATGCGAGCAAGATAGATCAGATCTCTGCTCTTGTTTTAGGGAGACAGTGAGTATGCACTAAAATGAATAAGTATATAAATTAACATCATCATTTCAAATAGTGATAAATGCCATACAGAAAAGAACACGGGTAATGTGATAGTTTTAGGATATTTAGGAAGGCATTTCGAGTTGGGTAAATTTACCTGGCAATGAGGAGGAGTTAGACATGGTGCCGCGGGGACTGAATCAAGGTTGATTCCCAAACTCTTGCTTGATCTGTTGGTTTGATGGTGCCACTTACTGAGCTAACATTGGGCAGGGGCATCAAGAGTTCTGTTTGGTAGATGTTCCCTTGAGATACTAACAGCTAGCCAAGTGGTGTTAACTAGGAAGTTGCAGGCACGTGTTGGTAGTTCAGGGGAGAGCTTAATAAAATCAGACTGAGTCAACTTCCCTACCTTCCACAGATGGTGTACCCAATTCCAAGGCTGCTCTGGGAGTGCTGGGCCATCTTGGGGGAGCCTGTGGTTCCACTGGTGAAATAAATAGCCATCGGTTCTTGACTTCCTGTCTCGACACAGTTGTGCTCAGCAGAGGCAGATCTGTAAAATATGAACCCCAAGACATGGCTGAAGACGACAGACAAGTTTGACTTTTGTGGGTGTTTTTGCTTGTTTCTTTTTTTGTTCTGCTGCTTCTGTGTCCTTGATATAAGAAGATCGTTAATAGAACAGATCGAATCCAAAGCTTCTCTGAGAGGAATTTTCCAGGAACTCTTTGAGGGAATTTGCAGTCAGTGCTAAGAGTTAACAGCTCTGATCTCTATCTCTTATTTATGTTCCACTTCCCTGTAGGCCAAATAGGTAACTGGTGAATCTTGATTAACTTGAATCACTCATGGTATTGATAATTCCCTCCCTTTCCAAGGCTGGTTTAGGAAAGGGCATGTGAATCAGGGCCAGTGAGCTGTAAAGGCTTTATGGGACATGCTGCCTTGTTCTAAAAAGAGTCATGAGAAAGGAAGCTGCTGCCCCCACCCTCATCATATTTTCTGGCCTTTGAATATTGTTGTGAAAGTGCATGAGGACTGAACTGCCCTAGCCCACCCTAGCTTGCCATGTTGGGACTTTAAGGGGAATTGGCAAACACACAAGGATGGCATGATGGGAAGAGAGTAAATCTGGGTGCATGCTAACTTCATGGGACCACTGAACTAAACAACTCTTATTTCATTCTCCCTCTGTACTTCTTACAGAATTAAATCAGTTGTGGTGTTTAAACCACTTTTACTTGGTCCTCCTATTACCAAAACCATAAGCATTCTAGCTGATTGCAATGTCTGGGGAAGACTGTACAGGTAGCTGCAACAATTCCTTCTGCCCCTTATTAGTATGCCTCTTCTCATGAGGGGTGGAGTTTATGTCTGTCTTCCTGAATATGGGCTGGCCTTAAGGCTTGCTTTGACCCACAGAGTTTGGTAAAAGTTATGTCTTCTTAGGCTAGGCCTCAAGAGACTGCAATTTTCTCTTGCACTGGGGGACCCGGCCACTGTATAAAAATGTTCAGATTGTCATGCTGGAGAAAGAGGCCATGTGTGGGAAAAGTGAGGTGCCTCAGCCAACAACAAATATGAACCCACTGGGGTCCTTCAGCCCCCATCAAGCAAATTGGAGCTGATACAGGATGTCTCTGCTGAGGCTGCATGAACTTCTAACCCACAGAATTATGGACAAATACAGTGATTGTTTCACACCACTTCTGCTTATACAGGGGCAGAAGGAATTGTTGCAGCTACCTCTACAGACAGTCTTCCCCAGGCATTGCAATCAGCTAGAATGCTTATGGTTTTGGTAACAGGAGGACCAAGTAAAAGTGGTTTAAACAACACAACTAATTTAATTCTATAAGAAGTACAGAGGGAATGGCTTATTACTTATTATTGGAAGACTGATCAAATGCCTAACAATTTTTAAGATTCATGTCATATTTTTAATTTCTTGGGTTGAAGGAAATAGGATTGAGGATGCTGTTTTAATATCTCAATGATGAATAGATAAGATTGCCATAGAAACTGGAAAACATTGAGGAATAATTATATAAATATGCCCTACACAGTCAAAAATACTTTTATGAAATATGAATGTGATTTTTCTTGTAACTTGTCCTTCCGCCCAAAATAAAAAAAAAATCACTCATGTTGATATTTTCCAGTATAAGTATTGGGGTGAAGTTGGTATCTGTTGGCTTGGAAAAAAGGAAATTCTTTACAGTAATATTCTGGGGTGGGGGAAGCTGAAACCATCTGGTATTTTTTTTCTTTCTGCCTTGTTTCACTGAGCATGAACCCTTCCCTATCCATGTTGCTGGAAATGGCATGAATTTATCTTTTTTGATTGCTTTTTTTTCTTTTATTGAAAGAAGAAACATTATAATCCGTGAATGATTTTCAGCCATCATTCCATTTTCTGATTTGTCTTTCTTTCTACCTAGATACCTGAGATTGATTTCTAGATTTTTCAAAACTGATTATATATATGCCGATGACATTCATATTTGTACCTTTATCTCTTTGAGCCTGAGATGCAAATATCTACACCTGATCTTCCTAGACTCCTCAGTGTCAATATGGCATCTACTGGTTCTTCCTCCAGTTGCTAGTGCCTTCCCACTAAGTCACTCAAGCTAAAAAGCAGAAGACTCCTTCCATCATACTCACATCCAATCAATCTCTAAGTCCTGATAGCTCTTTATTTGCTTTCTTCCCTTTATACCACTCATTAGAGTTCAGATCTAGAATCCCATCATCTCTCTTCTGCATCCTCCAAGACGCCCTCTCTGATTCCAACCTGATTCTCGAATTATCTATTAATACAACTGACAGAGAAATTTATTTAAAATCCAAATGGGCCTTGACATGCCTTTCTTAAAACTCATCAATGATTTTCCTTGTTTCCAGGATTAAGTTATTTCATCCCCAAAACAACACATGAGATGTGTTCAGTATAATTATCCCCATTATACATGTAAGGAAAGCTGAGGTTAAATAATCTGCTCTTTCACTAACTCAGGAAATATTTCTTAAGCACTGGCTGTATGTTGGGAACTGGAGAAAGAGTGATCAGCTGGAAAAAAAAAAAAGCATTTCTGTCTTTTTGGAGCTTATCATTGAGGACAGGATTTGGGAAACTTTTTAGTAAATATCATAGGGTCTGTGGACCACGCAGCCCACTCAACTCTGCAGACATAAACATCATATTGTGTATACGCTGCACCTGTGTTCCAAAATAACTATATTTACAAAAACTTGTGCTGAGCCAGAGTTGTCCCATGTGCCCTAATTTGCCAACTCCTACTTATAGGAGCAAAACTAATAATAAATGAATAAATGGAAGTGACTGTTTAGGTCATGACAAGAGCTATGAAGAAAACAGCAGGGGGAGACATTAGAGAGGCTTGGAGTTCTGCTCTAGGCAGGGTGCTTGGGCAGCTTCACTGAGGAGAAACACTCAGGCTGAAAGCTGACAGTAAGGAGTCTGCAGTGGAGAGAGGAAGCAGAGTATTCCAGGCTGAAGAAAGCAAAGGCCCTGATGTAGGGCATGTTTGAGGAATGAAAGTGTGACCAGAGCAAGTCAAGGCAGGGAGGGTGGAGGAAGATGCGGTCCAAGAGCTAGGCAAGGACCAGCCGTGCAGGCCATACATCACAGATCACAGGAGGAAGCAGGGCGACAGATGCAGAGTTCATCTCTTTCTGTCCTTAGAAATACCTTTTTTTAAAAAAAGATTTATTTATTTGTGCATACAAGAACTGGGGTACAGGCCAGAGGTGTGGGGGTGAGAGGATTCACCAGAGACAGAGTGGAGAGCAGAACAGATGGATCTACTGAAATACACGGCTGAGGGGAGCAGCGAGCGAGACAGGGGAGGTCTGCTGCACCATGTGGGTAGCTCCCTGGCTGGGGATCGAACTCGTGCTGCAGTGGCTGGCGATAGCTTCATAGTGCTGAGACTTAACCCCTGCACCACCAGGGAGGCCCCCTGTCCTTAGAAATATCTTATTTTATCAAGTGACCCTTTTCTGGGAAGGGGTTGAAATCGACCCATAATGTTGCTGAGCTTTTGGCATGAGGAGACTCCAGGAAGTCAACTGTAACTGTTGTTGCTGATACATAGATGAGGTTGGGGAGACTACTCACTGGAATAACTCCTGGAAGCTGAGCCAGCCGTTCCGACTCTGCGGAGACACCAGGAGCTTGGTTTTCAAGTGGGGACACTCCTTTGCGATGGACTCCACTGCCGGGGCCACCTCCTCACTGGTCACAATGCACTTGGCCTTGGACACTTGCAGTCGATAAAGGATGTCTTTCGCTGTCAGCTGGGTTGTTCCCGGCATGAAGACAAGTCCTAGGAAGGAGGTGGGGTCTGAGCTGGACTGCTGTCCCTGAGAACTCGGGAGTGTGGAAAACTTGGGCTTGTGCCTGGTGGGGAGAAGCTTCAGAATCCAGTGCTCAGGGTCCTGTGCGACACTCCTGGGAGGTCTTTAGAGCACTGGTTTCAGGGGCTAGCAGTCTCTGGTCAAAGCCTGCGCTTGGGACTTCCCAGCTTTGTGACTTATCTTTTGGTGCCTTCCTTTGCTCTCTGTGAAACGGGGAAAGTAAAATCAGTGTCTGACAGGTGGTAGACAGTGTAATGGTGGGCCATCATTCCGGGGCATCTTTGCGGGACACTGAAGCATCATTATTACATAACACTTAAATCTCTCTTTAGAGCCTTTAACAGACTCGCGAATGTTCTCTCAGTCTCCTGAAGTGGGCACTGGTGGTGCCAAAATGAGTTTTGTAAGATAATCCACTGGGAGATAAGAAAAGAGTTTACTGAGCTGAAATATGACTGAGATAGTAGAATTCTTTCTATGTTTTTATCTTGTTTTGGTATATAGTTTACCATAGGCATACTTAGCACAATAAAATGATATAAATGGCTACGTCCAGATGGGTGGAAGGGTGCCCCACATATTTTTATTGATAAAATGCGTAGCCAAAGGAAAAGCCTGCAGCCTCCTGTTAAAACAACCTGGTGGGCCCAGGCAGTGGTCGCCACCTGAAGGGATGTGAGATGCAGTCTTAGCTGGTGAGCCTGGGAGCCAGTCCTGGTGGCCTGGCACCATCAGAGTTTGCTAGATCGCTGGGGCAGGGTCTAATTTGGTTCACCTCTCACTTCGTGTGGACACTGGCCTGAGCTAAGCCCGGCTTTAAGGTACTGGTTCCTTATGACAAGAAGCTAAACAAATGTGATTACATCAAACACAAAGCCTCTGTGCTGCCACAGAAGTGAAATGTAATCTGCTGCTGGAGAGGAGATATTCTCAGCCCACACAGCAGATAATGATTAATATGCAAAATGTAAAAAGAAGCCAGGGTTAGCTGATTCCTAGAGGAAGCAGCCCCTTGACTGTGAGCGTGTCTTGGACATGTAAGCAACCAACCCCCCCATCCATTCACCTAACACCCTCTTTATCTAACTCTCACACCCCAACCCAGTGCTGCCCCCTAAGCCCTCCCAGGGTCCGGGACTCAGGAACTAGAGACCACCCCTTATAGCCAGCCCAGAGCCCATCATCACTGTTCAAACACTCCAGTCCTAAACCTGCTCCGTCTTGCCCTTGCCAATTCCTTCCCACCAAAAAACAAGCAAAGAAAAACCTGCAATAAAGACTTGCATTTGTTAAAAAAAAAAAAAAAAAGAAAAAAAACAAAAAGCTGCACAACTCAGCAAACAACCTGGTCCAAAAAATAGGCAGAGGATCTGAATAGACTTTTCTCCAAAGAAGACATATACTAAGCAAGACACATGAAAGAGTATTCACCATCACTCATTCTCAAGGAAATGCAAATCCAAACCACAATGAGCTATTTAGCATTTCACACCTGCGAGAGTGACCTGTTCAAATAAGACAAGGGACAGCAAGTGTGGCAATAGCAAGCCTTGCATGCTATTGTTGAAAATGCAAATTGGTAAAGCCATTTTGGCACTTCCTCAAAAAATAAAAACATCAAACTACCTTGTGATCCAGTAATTCTACCTGTAAGTATCCAAAGAATGTGAAAACACTGATTTGAAATGATATGTGCGCCCCCATGTTTATTGTGGCATTCACAGTAGACGAGATATGGAAGCGGCATAAATGGCTGCCGAAGGAGGACTGGATAAAACAAAACCTTGGATTCTGAGGACAGAACTGTGGCTGCCAAAGGGAAGGTGAGTGGGAGGGACAGGTAGGAGGTATGGACTGAACAGAGGTGGGAAGCTGGTGTGAAACTTAGTGTTGTAAACCAATGGTACCTCAAAAGAGGAGAAAAGAGGCAGAGGGTTTCCAACTGGGATCCACTGTCACGTTCCTACAAGTGCTTGTATTTTCATGCTTTTTCTCCCTTCTGTGTTTTTATATCAGGGAGAAGAATCCATGTAAGTCCCGGATCATCTGGACAAATACGTGGTCCAGCATGACAATTGGCACGTACACCTGCTGGGCCCAGACTATGGAGCTTGTGTTCAACGACTGCATCACTTTCCAGAGGTGTGACTTTGGGCAGCTTTTCAACCTCTCTGCACCTCAGTTTTCTTTTCTTTTCTTTTTTTAAAAAATATTTATTTATTTATACAAGAACTGGGGTACAGGCCAGTTGGGCGGGAGGGTGAGAGGATTCACCAGAGACAGAGTGGGGAACAGAACAGAACAGCAGACTGAAGAAATACACTGCTGAGGGGAGCAGCAGGCGAGACAGGAGAGGTCTGCTGCGCCATGTGGGTAGCTCCCCGGCCGGCCAGGATCGAACCTGCGCTGCAGAGGCTGCGGACAGCTTCACAGCACTGAGCTCAACCGCCTCTCCCACCAGGGAGGCCCCACCTCAGTTTTCTTTTCTGCAAAAAGTATATCACAATAACACCTACCTCTGAAGAGAATGACTATTACCTGACAATTGGTCTTGATTTCAATTGTTATTTTTCTGCCCTTTGTAGGCACAACTTTAGTCAGAACTAACTAACACTTCAGAAGACTCTCAGCCTGCACTATTTGAATTGTTAGAAATGGACACTCACCTGTTCGCATACAAGCCACGTTTATGAGCCACCACTCTGGGATTCGGGGCAGGATCACGGCGACTCGGTCTCCTCTGTTCAGGCCGCAGGGCTTGGTGAGCACGTTTGCACATTTTCGGGACAAGGAGCCCAGTTCTCCAAAACTCCACTTCACCTCATCCCCTTTGCCACTCACCCACCACAGGGCCGGGTTGGCTGGCCGCTCTCCTGTCTGGCCAGGGGCACAGGGGTGGGGGGGGGACAGAGAGAAGAGCCTATGGATTCTGGTGACAGACCCCCTCTGCCTTTGAGGGGGACTGCCCTCACCCATTGAACTCAACCCATCACAGTGCCCCTCCTTCCCTGACCACTGGGTGGGCATCGGACCCCAGCTGGGCCAATCACATCCGTTTTCTGGGAAGAGCCAAAAGGTGGAAACTAGTTGAAACAAAACCCATGTGGGGGATCCTGTTGCTTCCGCACCGCAGGGAACTGTCCCGTTCCTGCCCTCGGTTCCTGCCTGACTGTCCTTCCGGCCCAATCTTGTGAGCTCCCCGTGCCCCTTGGGATGCATCTCTTGTTTCAGTTGGATTCTGTTCCACCCTAATCACCCTCAGTGTGTACTAAGATTGAGCGGGAACCTCACATCTTTCGTCACCCAAAGGGCCAAGGTGGGTTTTATAGGCAATAAAGAGCAGGGTGGAGTCCACTGCGTCTGGGGCTGGGGGGTCAACTTGATTGATTGATTCCTGGAGGAAAGTTTTCACCCAGGTGTTGAGAAAGCAAATCTCTACTGAAAAACTCCTTGCTTTAAGGTACTACCTGGGGAAATAAAATTGCTTCCCCTTTTTTCCTTATCTGGAATGCGCCTCTCACCTTCCCTTCTGGAAAGTACTTCAAAGCCTCCTTTTCATTTCACTTCCTCGGTGAAGCCTTCCTTAGCCGCCTCTCCTCCCCACCTGCTCCTCTGCATTCCCGCAGCTTTGTGCTCGCTCTGTTGTAGGCGACTTCTTCTACTGGGCTGATTACAGACAATTCCCTGCCCCAGGAATGAAAGCACCACAAAATCAGGGACTGGTTCATGTCCCTTTGGAACTGGTGACCCTGGATACGTAGCTTAACTTTTACGAGGTTCAGTTCCTTATCTGCACCTCCAGGTGATGGGGATTTGATGAAATAATATGCGTCAGTGTTTCTCAATCTTTGGTCACTGGAGTATCACTATATTCGCCAGGCCTGTCTACACCTGTGCCATTGTTCTTTGTAGTTTTCTTTACATCACTCACTTTATGTGTATACATTTCCTTAAGGAGGAAAGTGTGTTTAACCTCCACCATAAGTGGAGAATCAGGACCATTTGCTAACAATAGGTTACTGAAAAGTGAATATACCGAAAACACAGCATGTCCTTACATTTTATCTAGAACGATCAATTTCTATTTGCTCTTTGTTGAAAGGACAGTTTAGCAAGTGTTATAAAGATGTTAAAGACAGGCCTTCCCCGGTGGGGCAAGGGGTGAAGTTGCAGCACTATGAAGCTATCTGTAACCACTGCAGCACGAGTTCAATCCCCGGCCAGGGAGCTACCCACATGGCACAGCAGACCTCTCCTGTCTCACCTGCTGCTCCCCTCAGCAGTGTATTTCAGTAGATCCACCTGTTCTATTCCCCACTCTGTCTCTGCTGAATCCTCTACCCCAACCCCCCACAACTCTGGCCTATACCCCAGCTCTTGAATGCATAAATAAATAACATAAATCTTTATAAAAAAGATGGTAAAGACATAATGGAATTAGAGGAAGCCCCTCCATCTATTTAATAGGAAGCACTGATTTGACATTATTTAACACCGTGTGTAGTTAGCATCTGCCACCATCTTCTGAAGCACAGCGGGTCCTCATGGGCATCTGGATGACCACTGACAAGTAAAGTGTTTAGCCCAGTGCCTGCAAGGGGCAGATACCGGTAACCAGGGATCTTGACCTGAGCTCACACAGCAAACACACTGGAAGGCATTTTCTCTTTCTCTCCCCAACCTCTAATTCTCTCCTAATTGCTCCAACCATGACTACTCATGAAGCCAAAGCTTAAATGACAGCTTTTTACTTAAGCCTGTGACTAGCCCAAATGGGAGAGGGACAGAAGAGTTAGGTGGGCACTGAAGAAAAAAATGAAGGAAGAGATACATCACGATGTGGGGGCTGCGGGGTTTCCAGAGAAAAAGCCACTGGGAGTGGAGGCTCACAGGTCTTCCCTGGGGAGAGGGAGCTGAGCAGGTAGAAAACAAAGGAAGCCAAGAGGATGGAAAAGTGGAATCAGAAGTGGCAAATGGACCCAGAACAGGGGGGGAGGGAGACTGAGAGGTAAGTGGACACCGAGCGCTGGGGGAGCCCCTTCGTCTGGCACCTGCTCCTTCAGGGACCACTGGTCCAGCACGTCCCCCGCGAAGTTGAAGTTCTTAGGCAGGGCCCTCTCACAGCGATTGATGGCTTCAAAGTCCGCGAGGGTCAGAGGTGCCCAGAGTGGGTGGTCTTTGTGCAAGAGCCGGCTGGGTGGCCTGGGGAGCCAGAGGAGCCTCAGCGCCATCCGGCTGCGGAGGAGAATCTTCATGCTTCCCGGGAGGCCTGGCTGGCTGCTGTGAATGTGGGAGAACCACAGCCTGCGGGGAGAGGCAGAGGGGGTGAGTCTGCTGGCCCTCTGCAGTGAGACTGGGAAGTGCACTGTGTGCTCCTGGGGAGCTGCGGGGCACCCTGAAAAATGCCCTACAATGTCAGGCTCACCTTCTCCCCAAGCAATCCATAGATGCACAGAATGTTTGCCCTGGATTAACCAGCATTCGAGGCCTCCCCTGTCTGCTTCATATTGTTCCAACTGTATCTGCTACTCCTCCGCGTGGATTTCCTCCTGCAGTCGGCGCCCCATCCACTTTTGCTGAGTGTCTATTTCCACCCTAAGATCTGTCCTGTCCTACTCCCTGCTTCTGGCTACTCCCACCTCCTGTCCTTTTTAGCCCTTTGCTGTGGCTGGTTAGGGACCTTGATTCAACTCCTGGATTGGAGCCACTTTCTGGCTGTAGGATTTTGGGCCAATTACTTATCCTTCCTGGACTTCAGTGTTCACATCTGTAGCGGCATATGTCATACCTGCCTCCTGGGGGTATTATGACAATTTAATAGAAGACAGTGTGTGTGAAATGCCAAGCATGTACAAAATGCCTTCAAGGTTTTAGCTAATATTGTTGAGATTATTTTCTTTGGCTTCTGCAGTCATCCAAGATGCAGAAAGGAGAAGAGGTCAAGGAGCAGGAGGCCAAGAAGATGGTAAATCCTGGGTTGTAGTAAAAGCCTGGACAAGCCATCCTGCCCCAAAGGGACCTCACCGGCTTTGTCACCAGATGCAGCCGCTACATCAGACTGCAGCAGCCAGGGGTTATCTTCTACACATGACTGAAAGTGCCTCCCACATTGACCACTTCACCCTGTGCGCTTGGATCGCCAAAGACCTACTCAACTGTCTAAGCTGGCCCACCAGCACCAACCAGAGAGCAAATAGGAGAAACAGAGATTGTTGGCCCGGGCTGAGAAGAAAGTTGCTGGCACAGGGGATGTCCCACAAGGTGGCCACCTGACCTTTGAGCAGGGTTAATGCTGTCACCACCCTGCTGGAGAAGAAGGCTCAACTGGTGGTGACTGCATATCACGTGGCCCCCATCAAGCTGGTAGTCGTCCTGTTCCTGCCTGGCCTGTGTGGGAAGGTGGGGGTTCCTTACTGTATAACCCATGGGAAGTGAGGCTGGGGCGCTTGGTCCACAGAGAGACTTGTACCACCGATGCCTTCACACAGGTTTACCCAGAAGACAAGCTTCAGATAAGCTCGTGGAACTTTCAGGACCAATCACAGTGACAGAGATGATGAGAGCTGCCATCACTACAGAGGCTACATCTTGGGCCCAAACCTGTGGGCCCCATTGCTAAGTTGGAGAAGATGGAAGGCTGCAGAATTCACCACCAAATGTGAACCCTTGTGGTTCGGTACATAAAAATGATAAATATTCTCCTTCAGCCGGTGCTGATGGGGAAAAAAGGGATTATTTTCACTGGTACTTTCGTGGCATAATCTCATGAAACAATCTTATGCAAGGAATCCAGAGACCTGGATTTTATACCCAACTCTTGCAAACTCTAGCTTCAAGTTCCTTTCTAGACTCCCGTCTGTGTTCTAACATTTTCCTAATTCTGTGATTATGTCTTTCTTGAATTTCCATAGTGTGCCTTTATACTACTCATGTGACAATTGTCTATCTTGTATTATTAATTATTGTTTTTAATGTCTATGCCTTGGCCCCCTGGCCTCCCTATATAGTGTGGGCGAGGCTCTGTACTGCATCATTGGCACTTGACACCATGCACAGGGCTATCTTCAATAATAAAAGCTAATGTTTATTGAATACAGCCATTTTGCATCCCTGATATCATTCAACATTTGTGACAAAATTGTGAGGTTGTTGTTATTATTACCTCCATTTTGCAGGCAGGGAAAGTGCAATAAATAATTTGCCCAATGTCATCCACTTTATGGCAGCAGAGGCAAGGTTTGAACTTACATGCCCTGACTTCAGAGCTTGCCTGTTAAACCTCTCTGCTATTCAGTTTCCTTTATCCTACCTTGTTTAATAAAGTTTTCTTATTGATGGTGAACTCCCTTGCCTTTTTTGTCCTTCAATCCTTAATTACCTCACAACAGAGTAGAAAAATCTACAGTTGCAAAGGATGACTGTGTCTCCAGTATGGCGATAACAAACATTAAAACAAGGGTGCAAGGTGTATCACCCCCTAATTGCTGTTGACATCCCCTCTTTGCTACACATAATATCTGAAGAAGTGAGAGCCCCACTTGGTGCAATTTAGTGTAGCCCAGAAGAGCTCTTTCTGGCAGTGCCATAGGTATTCAACGCTTTATTATGTCAGCATAGAAAGAAGAGAGATCATTTCTAACCTGGGCAATTTCCTGAAATGTGGTGGAGATATCAGGAGTAAAGAAGTAGAGGACAAGTGGAAGGGGTTCATGATTTAGCATTCTGCTGAAAGTGAGCCTGCATCCCTCGCCTAAACACACACGTACACACACACACCTCCCACATGCACTTGACTCTCTACATGGCGTTGCCAAGTTATTTAACATCTTGAAGTCTCATTTCATCTGTGCAAAACAAGAGTACTTGTGATGGGGTTACATCTTCATAAACCCATCCTGAGCTGAAGATCGACTTTCAGCCTAATCTCCTGAACATCATAGCTTAGCCTAGCCTACCTTGAATATGTTCAGAACATGTACATTTGCTGACAGTTGGGCAAAATCATCTAGCACAAAGCCTATTTTATAATGAAGTGTTGTCTCTCTCATGTAATGTTTTCACTAAAAAGAATACTGTACTGAAAGTGAAAAGTAGCCATACTGGGATGCAAAAGCACAAAACAAATATCCCCAAATGCTGGCAAAACAGGAGACTATAAGCTATTGGTGTTTACCCTCAGATCAGCTGGCTGACTGGGAGCTGTGGCTTACTGACCATATCCAACGTCCGTAAGAGAGGAACAGCTGGCTTACCAGGAAAAGAGCAAAATTCAACATTTGAAGTATGGTTTCTAATGCATGCATGCATGTCACTTTCACACCATCATAAAGTTGATGAATCATCAATTAAGTCATTGGAAGTGGGGGGCTGTCTGTAATAACTGCTTTCTTCACTGGCTCACTGGGGGTGTGAGAGCCTTACCACAGCATCTGTGCTAATGCTGCACATTCAAAATCAAACCTTAGAACTCTTTATGGCAGAAGGGTTTAGCCACCTGACAGACAAAAAAAGTAGAAAAACTGTTGGATTGGAGAAACCAACATCTTGGAGGCTTAGTTTATTTCTGCCTCTTTGAATGCCCTGTCTCCATGTCTAAGGCCTTGTCACTGAACTGAGCTCTCATCCTCTGAAGCACTTTAGCCTTCCCTCCTATCAGTTTTACCTTTCCAGGGTCCTAGTTTAATGATGAATTAGAAAGACTCAAGACATGGGACACCTGGAACATTCTTGCTTCTTCAAGGAAAATAGGACAGAAACATAACAGACTATTTTTAATGCAAATCTCCTTTCCATCTTCTCCACTAAATTAAAAAATGATGAATTTTCATGAATTATTCTTATTTCCCATACCTCCATGGATAAATTTTTCATATATTAATAAACCATCAACAATCACCTGCCAATGAATCTAAGACTAAATATCATGAACAGATCTGATCCAAATATGTACTCAGCATTTCTAATGTTAGGTACATAAACAGAATGCATTTTGCAAATGCAAGCAAAATAATTGCTAATAAAATACAAATCAAGGCATCACATAGTAGGATATTCAATTAAATTTTAACCTATCTTTATTGCAGCACTAATTACAATAGCTGAGATATGGAAACAACCTAAATGCCCCAAAACAGATAAATGGATCAAGAAGATACGGCCTATACATACAACGGAATACTACTTGGTGATCAAAAATGATAAACTCGTGCCACTTACAGCAACATGGATGGAACTGGAAGGGATTATGCAAGTGAAATAAAGAAGAAGGAAAAAGATAAATATTGGATGGTTTCACTTATATGTGGAATATAGAGAAAATTAACAAAGGGTTAGGAAAAGACAAAATTTGTAAGTCGACCATAGATATGAGGCATATATTAGTGGAGGGGGAAGAAGGGTCAAAAAAGTTGAGGGAAGAGCATAAGGGACAGGGGAGTTAGATCATGGGTGTTACGGTGGTGGGAGAACTACTAGGACTACATCTGAGGGGAGAAATGAAATACTGTCCAAAAATTAACAATGACATAAGAAAATAATGAATGAAAAAATTAAAAAAAATTTTCAACCAATATCTTTCCTTCTTTATTTATCTTTGATTTTTCAGTATGACCACACATCGCCGAAGAGCCGCCATTTGCATTGAACAGAGCCAGTTCCTGATTTGAGATTCCGTGGGATGTTTCTAGGATTCCAGGACCAAATCTGAGGGTTACTGGCTGTTTTAGGTCAAGACATTTGTATGGAAATGTAGAGGTTTGTATGTAAATACAAAGAAGTTTGTACGTAAATGTGTTTAACAAAATGTCAAAGTATCTGTAACAGCACCAGAGTTGAACTAGATGATTTCTAAAGTCTTAATGATTTCCAGTGTATAAATGGAAAACTTAACAGTGAAAAAACAGTTCAAGCAATTGGCGTGCCCTCAATATTACAATAAGCATTTCTTTGCCATATCTTATTTAATTCTCCCAACAGCCCCACCAGACAGGTATTTTATCGTACACATAATGTGGCCAAGACACAGAGAGGTAAGTAATCTACCAAAGGTCGTTCACCTAACAAAGCAGCCTAAACTTCAGCCTGTCTTTGTTTTCTCCAGAGCCCAGGCAAAGAAAGCCACCACAGAGCATAGATTTATTTTGACCAATCTTTGTAAGGTAGGAGAACAGTCCACTTTTCTGCCAAAGGGACAGTAATGGAGGGCTAGTTAGTCCTGCAGTTATCCAATTAAGGCAAGACAACATTCTCTTCTCTT